GTATGGAATCTACGAGTGGTTTAGTTCCCAGTAAAACACTCTTCTCCATATAATAAATGACCCACCCCGGATGACTAAAATACTGTAACCTAATGGATTATCGTAACAAAGAAATAAAATGTAAAGATTAAATTAATTATTTTGTTTGGTTTTGCGTGAATTCGATAGCGTTTATGCCGTCGGACTCTGAAATAATTATTCCATTTAATCTGGTTTCACCTACTTAACTATATTCGGTTGAAGAACGTTTCACAAACTTGCGAAACGAATAAATACTGTTCTTTCAGCTTATACAGAAAAACAGGAGAATCCACATAACTATGAGGATGTAATTTGGTTTCTTTAACCTAAAACACCTAACACCCACAATGACAATTGTGTTTATTACTATGATCGTATTAATTCGTTCAGTTTAATATATATATACATATATATATATTTTTTTTTTTACAGTAGAATATTTTTCAGATTGACCTAGAAATGACTTGGTCATTTAACAATGTGTTTTAAAATAGCTCTAAGGAAAACAACTGGCCAAACATTAGCGAATATACATAGTAATGAGCATTAAAGAAAATTGTAAAGAAAGAAAAAGAGTTAGGACACAAGCAGAACTGACGCCAAGCTTGAAACACAACTGGTAAGTAGTAGAGACAAGTTGCTCCGCGAAAGGCAGCTTAACAAAAAGTTTATTAAATTGCTAGTATAGTTTGTATGATTTATGGGTCCTTTCATTAGTAGACCAGTCTACACGCACGTCAGGTTGGAAACCACAGGGAAGCAGAGACAAGGCGTCGGACAAAAATAGCAGTGCAGCAAAAGCTGTAAAATACGTGTTTCTAAAACGTTGTCTTTCTAAAACTAGTCAGTTTCCGAGCAGAAAGAGACTCCAAAATGTTGTAAATGAAATATTTTTAAAAGTTAACTCTTTTATAAGTTATTACTACTTTCTATGCGAAGAAAGAGTGGAAATTCCAGCATGTCAGACAAGATTTCTTAATGGCATGGTTTCTATATTCCATTTTAATCTATATTTTCTATATTACCATATTACTTCTGCAACCCTTTAGATTTACTTTGATTCTGTAGAAATACAAGTATTTTTTTCTTCAGAAATACAGAATGGAAACCTTAATTTAGATGAGACTTGCATCTGACAGCTTTCATTAGCTGGGCAGTTTACACATACGTCAGGTTAGAAGCCACAACGCGAAGCAGAGACAAGACGCCAGCCAGAGAAAGCAGTGAAGCGAAAAGCGAAATTTCGGATTTTCCATATTTTGCTCAAATAACCTCTATAGTGAGTTGTTTTCGAAAATACCATTCAAAGGTTTTGAAGCGCTTTAGTTTTTTCGAAATCGAGGAAAGTCCGAAAATCGCCATTTTAGCTGCCTGCCGCCGCCGAAAATGGCCGCAAATTGTGCATTTTCTTTTCGCTCGTACAGGTCAACGCGATGATATCTATCAATATACTTTGGGTAGCTCATAGTGCTTGTCTTGTTGTTTCTAAAGCATTAATTTGATTAGCAAAAGCTCCAAGTGTTATAATATTTTAGGCCGATACAAGTACCTTCATCGAAGCTCGTGAGCGAAAGGGCTANACAGGTCAACGCGATGATATCTATCAATATACTTTGGGTAGCTCATAGTGCATGTCTTGCTGTTTCTAAAGTATTAATTTGATTAGCAAAAACTCCAAGTGTTATAATATTTTAGGGCGATACAAGTACCTTCATCGAAGCTCGTGAGCGAAAGGGCTAATTTTAGCTAATTTCAATACAATCAAAAGCCCACTGGTACATTGAATTTGAAATCGAACCTAAATTTTCTAAAAGCCCATACTTCATATTATGTTGTGTGAAAGTCTCTTCCGCGGCCCGAAAAAAGTACCCTGTCGAGAGCAATAAACGTGTGGTACATTTTGAGAAATTCGTCATTCGTGAAACCAACATGGAACTTGGAAAGCTACCTTCATCAAGAACAAAAATAAGTGAATGGAAGCCTTATTCGTCAATAAAGATGCTCGTAATCCGGTTTTTTTCCTTTTAGATTGACCACATGATTAACTTTGGCAAACATTTGGAATTAAATAAATATAGACGCTGCTTTTGGTACTTTGTAATGTTATGCAAATTTATTTCGATCACCGGCACGTGCATATATCGCCCGAAACTGATTTGACTTCCGCCTACTGTATTTGTCTTTTTGAAGGTTACAACTGTAGCACACATTATTCGTTCAATATCGGCAGTTGTAATTTTTGTGGAAGACCCACAGCCGAACCTGACTTCAAAAGAAAAAAAGACATTTTGAAACGTGAAACTTGAGTAATCAATCAATCGATTACAGTTGCACCATCATGTTTGGCGTAAATATTCGAGCACAACCATTTCATGTAAATAGGCACACTCTACTTTAAAAATAACCGTCTCATTGCAGCATTTCTTGAAATCCTGGTCTGAGACCAGGTAATGNTTCATGTAAATAGGCACACTCTACTTTAAAAATAACCGTCTCATTGCAGCATTTCTTGAAATCCTGGTCTCAGACCAGGTAATGATGACAAAGCGCGAGCAGATGGCGAAACCTCATGATCAGCAGTCGCAAAGTTGTGGCATAATATGGCAAGATAATTCGACCGTTGTATTTTTTTACCCGTGTGCTTGCAATTCTAATATAATGGGTACAATTACCCCTGTCTTTACCACCAGATTTATCGATGAATCGTTCGTCTCCTATCACCTAATATGCCACATACCTCTCAATAAAACACATACTGTCGTCCGCCACTTGCGAAACGTGAGCAGCAAGACAGAAAACCACAAATGTTTCTTAGTCAATCACACAAAGCTGTCCAGATCTATTTCTTACAAAGTTTCCAGACTTCGCTCTCCTGTAAAGTACCAAGACTTCGCCGTTCTGTTGGCCAGTCCGAATAACTGTCATGGTGTTAGTTGAGTACTTGACTCTGTTTGGTGGTCGCGCAGTTCAGACAATTCGACAAATGTTGATTTCATGACAATCGTGAACACATGACGTTTTGCAAAGTAAGTGAAGATGGCGACGTAGACCCCGAGGGGAGGGGGACACCCATATAAAAAAGACCGAGGTGTTCGTGGAAATTTTGAAAAGAGCCCTTAAGAGGTACCAAGATCC